TGACTATCCGGTTGATCGTGGGGATCCAGATCCTATAGATGTTGGAGGACCTATATCCCACTAGGAAGCCGATCCAACCTTTGGGCTTAAGCCGCATCTTGCGATTGACCTTCTGCTGGGCATCTGAGGTCATTGCATAGGCCTTGCAGCCAAATGCCCGTAGGTGTGTTTGATCCGGCTGTTTCTTCGGCTGTGGAATCCCTGCTGCTTTGGCTGATGCTGTATGCAGTTGATCATATGGCGTTTTCCAGCCTGATGCGTAGTTCGGCGTTCGGTTGTACAGATAAACTGCTGTCCTTCCAATTTCTGGCCACAGCTGATGAGGAAGCTTTGCGCCTGTTCGCATAGCCCTTTCCTTGTCCTTGACTACACCCCCTGAGCGTTCGGCACCCCCATTCTGGGCTTGTGTGTATGGGGCCGAGGGCTCGATGATGATAGCTCTATTCCTCAGGAAGTCTCCGATTTTCGGCTTGATCTCCGTGATCTCGTTATCACATTCGATGACTTTGACCTTGAGGCCGTGTTGGACTTCCAGATGACTTAGGAAGGATTTGAAAGCGGTGATAATAGCTTCTGTCGTCCGGGCTGTGAGGTAGTAATCCCAGATGTAACCCGTAGCTCGGCAGGTTAACAACATCTGTGAGGTATAGCCGCCTATGCCTTCTTGGTAGTCGTGGAAGTCAATGGCGATACGCTCGCCGGCCTTCTGATCGGATTGTCTTGGGGCTCGTCTGATTTGTCTCTTGATCTTCGATATGCCACAGGCGTCGCATTCAACAGTGGTTGGTCCTCGTATTCGCACCCCCTGAGAGGCCGAGATAAGGTGTTCCAGAGCTTGTGGTCCCGGGTGCCCTAGGCGACTGTGCCAGCGGATAGCTTCTCCCGTCAAAGGGGCCTTCTTTGTGTAAGAGCTGAATCTGTGGGCCACAAAGGCTGCTTTTGGGAAGCTTTCTGACTGGTATTCGATGACATACTGGCCGTATAGGTCATGGATTGTGCATGCAATCGTTCGGTCGAGTCGTCGGAGGGTCGTTGGGTTACGCCTATTATCCCAATAGAAGCCTTTCTTTCGTAGTTGACGTAGGGAGACTAGGGTCGTAAGGAGCCGAGGGCAATAAGCTACATCTTCAAGCATTAGGACTCGAGTTCCTGTGAGCCTGATGGTCATGGTTCCGTAGCCTAAGATGGGTAGTTTTCGGTCTCCAGCCCAGATGAAGTCGCCTGGAATAGCCGGCTGGAATCTCGCTAGTCTGTTGGCACTGTTTGTGATTGAGATAGTAGCTCCGGGGTCGAGGATCACGGAGTTCCGTAAGGGATAGTTATCCCTTTGGGCTGCAAAGGCGGCCTTGATTTCGGCGATTGGTCGGCCGTACAGTCATTGGTCTGAGTTTTCTTCCTTTGTTGGCTGCATCAAGTTTCTGTCTTTTGAGGTCCTGGCCTTCTTCCGTGTGAGGGCTTTTACCTGGGCCTCCAGGTCTGAGTCTTCCTCGAGAGCTTCTTTCACCTTCTTTTGGATCTTCTCTCGGGGCTTGAATCCCTTCCATGCCTGATTTGGAAAGACATAGAAGCATTTCGCAAGTTCGTGGGATAACCCACACGCCGGGCATTCCTGTCTCTTCTCAGGAGACCTCTGGCGTTTTCTTTCTCCCTTCTTCGAAGACGGGTACTGACCTTCAATGATGTGGGCGTCCCCTTCATCATCCTGGGGATCCTCCCCAGCATAGCTCGCAGAAAACGCACCGCGGGCCACTCGGCCCTTCGTGGCTTCTGCATCTTGGAGCTCATTTCGGAAGGCGTTCCCTACATCTCGGTATGAGAGGGCCCTGTTTTGCAATAGGGTCTTTGAAGAGATTTTGTATGAGGCAGTCCAGCTGGGCAAGATGTGTGTGGTGACACTGAAGAAGTCCCAGGCCCACGCACTGTTGTGGAGCGTTTCAGGGACCTCTCGTTGTCGCCCTTTCGCCATTGCCTCTTCCCATTGATCTAGCCACTTGAATGCTGCTTGGCTGACCGTCTTTGGGGCAGTTCTTAGTAATGTAAGATACCTATTTCTGGCATCCTTCGTTTCATCTGCCTCGGTCCTTCCACACCTGGCACGAAGGTTCCTGTGCCATTCGTATATTGATTCATGTGACTGAGAGCAGGTTTGAATCAGGCTAGGAGAGACCGTACGGATAACCCAGTCTTGAAGGGTTCCAAGAGCGGTTTTCTGTTTTTCGAAAACCTTCTCTTGTAGCTGATAAAAGGTTAAATCCTGCTGGAAGATCTTCTGGCCTTGGTCTGTTAGGTCAGAGATAGACCATGTTCCATTTGCCGTTTCCTGAATGTCGTCTGGGGCGCCGTCTTGAGATTCAGCAGTATGAGACCGGATTGTTCGTTGGGCTGTAGCGGTCTTCGTATATCTGCGTTTTCTTATATCCGGGATAGCTGGTTCGTCTCCTAGGAATGTCTTGCTTTTGAGGTGCTGCTGAAGACCAAGACGATGGGCCTGAAGGAGGAATTCATGCTCCCAGTTGAGGAAGTCCTCAGGCTTAGAGAGGGTAGCCGTAAGACCTTCCTTTTGGGGCTTGGATAGGGACATTATGTATGAGAAAGAGGGTTCTTCAAGGTATTAAAAAAAAATGGTTGAGGCAATGAGACTCTTAATTGTCAGATATTAAGGTGAATCGTGTATATTTCTTGATTCTGCCGCAATCGAAGGACTATTGAGACCTTATATCTTCGACTGGTTCCTTCTAGGACTTGAGTCCTAGAAAGTCCTAGATGAAAGTCCTACGATCTAAGTTTAGGACTTCAAACTTTAATCCTGAACCTTAATCCTGTGAGGGTGAACCCTCCAACATTCAACAAGAGGCAAGAAGAGAAGAGCGATACCGAATCCCAACAGGAAGTTCATAACACTAGCCGAGGCTCTAGTGGCTGGTGACACTATTTCTAGGTCAAACGAAGCAATTGAAGAGGCAGAAGCTGTTGAGGAGGTGATCGAGGTGGGAGGGGTGGAAGAGGATGAGGGCTCAGATTCGGAGGCGGAAGAATTACCAGTTGTACGGACCCGCGCAGGCCGCGCAGTTAAAAGACCAAGAGGATATTAAAATACATTCAATTCTGATCTTGATCCTAAATATGAATTTATTTTTGCTATTTTTATCAAGTTCTTGCCAGCATGATGAAAAATCGCATTTTGTATGGGGGAATATTTTTTTTGCTGACCGGGTGAGGGGCATGACCGGGTGAGGGGTACTAGATGGTATATTATAGCATATAAGGCTATAACAGAGCTTGGTTCTTATAACCCTATTTACCTATTTATACTTCTTTCGGAATATTAGGTTCTTATTTATCAGAAATACTAATATGCATGCCTAACTAGCGAAGTTGCCACTTATCTTGCCACTAAGTATACTAGAATAAATCCAGGGACCCAGCGCTAACTGGTAGAAGACACTCAAGCGATACCAAATATACTACAGAGCCAGGCCAAGCTATCTCAACTATAGTATCTACTGCTAACAACCAAGCCTATTTCTTATCTCGCCCCACCGAAGCTTAATATACTCCAATGTCATCATTGCAGCTACAATATCTATTAGATTTAGGTAATGCAGAAACACTATCTCTTTGAGTGTCATAAGCCTACACTTGCGTACCGGACAGGGGGCTCTAGCCAACCAGAGGACATGAAATGAAAGGTACATTTAGCCCCACCTAATTTATGCGGTGATAGAAGTCCCAACAATTCCCGGATCTACATAGGGGTACTTTGCACTCCTGACAGCTGTACCGTGACTGAACCCTTTTGCCCTTATTCCCATTATTTGTATTAGCTTATAAGGGCTGCGGCTGCTCACGGCGGCTGTTAGCAATAACAATACAGCTATCGTCATACGCGTTGACCGCTAGGTCGGAGGCTTGTTGAGAAGCCATGAGGCCGTAGGGAATGAAAATGAAATGTATGATGAAATGGGTGGGGTTGATTCCTCTGGCCCTCCAAGTCATTCCATGTACCTCAATCAAAGCGGGGGTCATGTGGGGCTCGGTACGGAAGTGTAGGCTTATGACACTCAAAGAGATACTAGATCTTATAACTAGGTTAATCCCAGAAGTAAAGGAAGGCCATTAACAGGACATCTAACGGCAAATTCTCTGCCGTAGATAGAAGGTGTTACATATCAGTAATTCTTTCCTTCTCGTGAAGGTAGCAAATAGTTCCAGGTTAACATACAGACAAAGGAACTAGCAAACAGACTGAGAGTAAAGTCTGGCACTAAGCAGCCAGGGGGAACACCCCAGGCTCTTACATCCAAGGCATCCATCCATCTACAACAAGTCATAGATCGGGAGACTCAATATCGGGAAGCTTTGAGCCCAGCTTTATGCCCAGCTTTATTTGTTGACAACGAGCCAATAGGTGACATAGGGTAACGTCGTCAACGTGGAGTCACGCGCGTTGAAGGCAATATGCAATTGATTTGGTAGGAAAGTAGATGCTCGATACCTAAATTACGGAATCAGTATAATGAGGCGAAATACCACTTGGTAGTAAAATTCTATCTTTACACGCAAGAAATGCGGCAGTGAGAATTGCATACCTAGAACTCATCTGGCAGGATATTAGCATAGGCAGTTTGGTGGAAATTTTGACTTGGATGATGGATTCTAACCAAAATCCCGCTATTTACCAACACCACGGAAAACCCCAAGAATTGCCATGTTTCTCGCACCACGACTCAGGACCTACAGTAACAACGACTTATGGGTATGGCAGTTGGTAGAACTACGCTTTCCCAGGTTGGCGAATGAGCTCTCCGGTGACAGATGAGCGAGTCCAAAAAAGGCGAAATCTCATTATTGATGAAGCGCGACAGGACAGACCCCATCTGCCACAAGATCCACCCGTAGTATATAGCTTAATTCCCCGCTGAGACGCCAGGGGTAACTCAATTTCAAGTTCCAGTAGGCTAGTGTTCCTATTGTGCCTGTAGATTGTCAGTCAGGTCGATATGAAAGGGCAGACGCTCGGTCATACAGAAAAGAACAATAAAGTTATCCTTTTGTCGTCATGGAATAGAAACAACAGTCTACCTTTATTTAGTAGGGCTACTCAACGCATCTGCAATGCGCTGTGCCTCATTTCAATGGTACGGGGAAGCCTTGATGACGGAGATGGAGGAAAGGTCCCCACATGGCGTGATCTAACGAATGGCTGTGCACACATAAAGTCACGTGCTTGCTTGTTGTTACCTCTTCGCTCGCTCGCTCGCTTGCTTTGCCTTGCACTTTCCACTTCTTACACGGTAGAGCTCTGCGATGAGCCTGGCGCAGCTATCCTTTTACTCAGCAATCCTATTGGACTCACAAGCTGTGCCTGTCTACAGGGGTCCTTTTCAGCTGCTGACGCCTCCCTTCCCCGCACGAGAAATCCCGCAAAGATGTTGCTGCCCAAGTTGTCAGTGATGACAATCCGTTTGTCGTCCCGACTCATCGATCCGAACAGAAGCCATCTCGCTGATACCGTCATATCGCGCAACAAGGCCAAGGTGCCCTCTTCAAAGTGAAGATGGCGCCTCGCTGGTTTGAGAAAGTCGAATCCAAGGCCAAAAAGCTGTTGTCTCCTTCGGCTCCTTCACCATCACCTTCGCCGACACCGTCTCAGCCTGCATCTGAACCAGCAGCTCGACCAACATCTCAGCCAACGCCTTCTCCACCCACCTCGACAGATTCCTCAACCTCACCGCTGCCGAATCTACAGGAGCGACTTTGGAACCAGGCCTACGACGAACTCAAAGCGAGCGAGCCCAAACTGGTCGAAGCGTACGAGAAGATCCTATCAGTTGGACTTCACCGAAAGGACCCGAGCTCTGTTACTTGCGAATCAACGGAAAACGAGATAGAGGGGGCTCGTGAGACAAGATGCCGCCAAATGCAGCAGTTAGTCCGGGATGGACTAGACCGGACGCAGAAAGCAGCGTCCATCAAGCGAGGAATCGATGAAGGCTTGCAAGCAGTGCAAGCGGTGAGGGGGATAGTGGACAAGGCGATACAGGCCGCACCGGAAGCCGCCATCGCCTGGGTTGGCGTCTGCCTTGGACTAGAGGTGTGTGATCAGCTTTCCTAACCGAAGAGAACGGTGGATGATCCCCCCTCTAACCGTTGCTAGATCCTTTCGAACCCCGTCACCGAAGCACGCTACAATCGCAATGGCATCGCCTACGTCCTGTCGCGAATGGAGTGGTACTGGAACCTGGTGTCCCTACTTCTCGACGAGAATAAGGCAGAGCAATCCTCTGCGGGACTGCGAGTCCAACTGGAGAAGCACGTCGTGCAGCTATACGAGAAACTTCTCTCGTATCAGGTGAAGAGCGTCTGCCTTTACCACCGTAACTGGGCTGCCGTGGTCTTGAGGGACGTGTTCCGACTAGATGACTGGGCTGGCCAGCTCGACGACATCCAGAAAGCCGAGGCTGCTGTTCGAACAGACTCGGATCAATACAACACTGAACAGAGCAAGATCTACCTCCGGAAACTCACCGACACCGCAAGCGCCTTGGAGATGAATCTCCAAGGCATCCATTCGGCCATCAAGGATCAAACACGACAGCAAGAGAAGAGATACCAAGACGCCAAGTACGAGAAATGTATGCAGGATCTGCACGTGACTGATCCACACAAGGACAAGAAGCGAATCCAAGACACGAAGGGTGGCCTGCTCAGGGACTCTTATCGCTGGATTCTTGACCACGCCAAATTCCAGCAATTTCGCGACGATCCACAGAGCCGGCTGCTCTGGATCAAGGGTGACCCTGGCAAAGGCAAGACCATGCTCCTGTGCGGCATCATCGACGAGCTTGAGAAGGGACCTAACAGTCTCCTTTCCTATTTCTTCTGCCAGGCGACTGAGGCTCAACTGAGCAATGCAGCGTCTGTGCTGCGTGGCCTCATCTACCTCCTCATCATCCAGCAACCATCGCTCATCTCGTACCTCCGGTCCAAGCACGATGTTACGGGCGAGAAACTCTTCCAGGGCATTAATGTCTGGGTGTCTCTGGTCGAGATACTCACAGACATGCTGAAGGACCCGACTTTGAAAGATGCAGTCTTGGTCGTCGACGCCCTCGACGAGTGCATTACCGATCGACCCCAGCTTCTTGATTTCATCATCCAATCGTCGTCCACTCCTTCGTCCCGCGTCAAGTGGATCATATCCAGTCGCAACTGGCCAGACATTGAGGATAAACTTGACATTGCGAAGCAGAAGGTCAGGTTGCCCCTCGAGTTGAACAAGGACTCAATCTTCAAGGCTGTTGATACGTACATTGGATACAAGGTGGATCGATTGGCATGCCATAAGAAATACGACAAGGAAACAAGGGACGCTGTCGAGAATTACTTAACCTCCAATGCCGATGGCACGTTTCTCTGGGTGTCCTTGGTCTGTCAAGAGCTCGCAGGTCCCAATGTCCGAAAACGGCATACGCTCAACACGTTGAAGTCATACCCTCCGGGGCTTGATTCGCTCTATGATCGAATGATAGGGCATATCGGTGATTCGAAGGATGCGGGCCTCTGCAGGGAAGTCCTGGCCATTGCTTCGGTCGCATACCGACCTCTTACCTTGGACGAGTTGAAGGTTCTTGTTGTGTCGCTCGAGGATCTCGACCAGGACGAACTGGAAGAAATCATCAGATCCTGCGGTTCTTTCCTGACTCTTCGAGAAGGTGTCATCTACTTTGTGCATCAATCAGCCAAGGATTTCCTGCTTAACAAGGCATCCAACTCTATCCTACCCTCTGGCGCCGCGCACCAGCACCATACCATCTTCTCGAGGTCTCTGGAAGCCCTCTCGGAGACTCTCGAACGCGACGTTTACAAACTGGGCGCTCCAGGATTTCCTATCGATCAGGTCTCGCCACCCGACCCTGACCCGTTGGCTTCGATACAATATTCCTGCGTCTTCTGGGTAGACCATCTCGGTGACTCAGAACCCGGGGCGAAGATGAGTGACAAGGACCTACAGGACGCGGGGATCGTCCATGACTTCCTTCGAAAGAAGTATTTGTATTGGTTAGAATCTCTCAGTCTGTTACGCAGCATGTCGGAGGGGGTCGGGGAAGTACAGAAGCTCGAAGCCTTAGTAGTGAGTTGTTATAAATTCATGTACAAACTGGAGACGTTCTGACATGTTAGCAGAAAAGCAAGGAAACGCGGCAACTAACGGAACTACTTCGGGACGCGCGTCGCTTTATTCTTTCCCACAAGCGGGCCATCGAGATTGCTCCATTACAGGTCTATGCATCAGCACTCGTGTTTAGTCCCACCCGCAGCCTAATAAGAGAGCTCTTCGAAAAGGAAGAGCCGAACTGGATCACGCTCAAGCCGAGCGTGGAATCAGACTGGAATGCATGCCTACAGACGCTCGAGGGCCATGGAGATTGGGTGAGCTCGGTGGCCTTCTCGGCGGATAACCAGCGGCTCGCCTCAGGCTCGCACGACAAGACGGTCAAGATCTGGGATGCAGCAACGGGCGCGTGTGTGCAGACGCTCGAGGGCTATGGAGATTCGGTGAGCTCGGTGGCCTTCTCGGCGGATAGCCAGCGGCTCGCCTCAGGCTCGCACGACAAGACGGTCAAGATCTGGGATGCAGCAACGGGCGCATGCGTACAGACACTCGAGGGCCATAGCAGTTTGGTGTTCTCGGTGACCTTCTCGGCGGATGGCCAGCGGCTCGCCTCAGGCTCGGACGATAACACGATCAAGATCTGGGATGCAGCAACTGGCGCGTGCGTGCAGACGCTCGAGGGCCATGGCGATTCGGTGAACTCGGTGGCCTTCTCGGCGGATGGCCAGCGGCTCGCCTCAGGCTCGCACGACACGATCATGATCTGGGATGCAGCAACGGGCGCATGCGTACAGACACTCGAGGGCCATAGCAGTTTGGTGTTCTCGGTGACCTTCTCGGCGGATGGCCAGCGGCTCGCCTCAGGCTCGCACGACAAGACGGTCAAGATCTGGGATGCAGCAACTGGCGCGTGTGTGCAGACGCTCGAGGGCCATTGCGATTCGGTGTTCTCGGTGACCTTCTCGGCGGATGGCCAGCGGCTCGCCTCGGGCTCGGACTCGGACGACAAGACGGTCAAGGTCTGGGATGCAGCAACTGGCGCGTGTGTGCAGACGCTCGAGGGCCATGGCGATTCGGTGAGCTCGGTGGCCTTCTCGGCGGATAGCCAGCGGCTCGCCTCGGGCTCGGACGATAACACGATCAAGGTCTGGGATGCAGCAACGGGCGCGTGCGTGCAGACGCTCGAGGGCCATGGCGATGGGGTGAGCTCGCTAGCCTTCTCGGCGGATGGCCAGCGGCTCGCCTCAGGCTCGGACGATGACACGGTTAAGGTCTGGGATGCAGCAACGGGCGCGTGTGTGCAGACGCTCGAGGGCCATAGCGGTATGGTAAGCTCGCTAGCCTTCTCGGCGGATGGCCAGCGGCTCGCCTTGGGCTCGGACAATAATATAATCGAGACCTGGGATACGGCAACGGGTGCGTGCGTGCAGACGCTCGAGGGCCATGGCGATTCGGTGAGCTCGCTAGCCTTCTCGGCGGATGGCCAGCGGCTCGCCTCAGGCTCGGACGATGACACGGTTAAGGTCTGGGATGCAGCGACGGGCGCGTGCGTGCAGACGCTCGAGGGCCATGGCGATTCGGTGAACTCGGTGGCCTTCTCAGCGGATGGCCAGCGGCTCGCCTCGAGCTCGTGGGATAAGACGGTCAAGGTCTGGGATGCAGCAACGGGCGCATGCGTGCAGACGCTCGAGATTGACCTGGTGGTTACTCACCTTTCATTTGATCCGATGACAAACTCTCTCCTCTCTACCGACATTAGATTTCTGAACCTGGATCTCCCGGCTCTACCGCCTGCCATCGATGATCAGTCGACTGACGCAATCTTATGGGGTTTTTGCCACTCTGACTGGGGTATAAGTACCGACGGTGTATGGATTGTAAAAGATGGAAAGCGGATGCTTTGGCTACCTCCAGACTATCGAATGATGGCAAAGGCTCAGGTGGGATCAACGGTCGCTATCGGCTGCCGTTCAGGCCGTGTACTGGTGATGAAGTTCTCTTAGAGCGGAGGCAGGCATAATTCCCTCATTGGTTACAAGCAGCCCTACTCAAGAATTATTGGCAGAAACGCATTGCGTTTCCTGTTTTTGACCAATCATCATCTAGCATTTTCGCCCCATATTTCCCCGATAGAAACGCACTGCGTTTCTTGTACTGCACTCATGAAATTAGAAAGCCTAGTCCTACATACCAAAATCAATTCTACTAGAATTGATTTATTTTGCCCCACTTTACAAGGGGTAGACTTGATTTTTGACCAGGGGTAGACTTGAATTTACTAAAGTCACTAGTCGCGGGGTAGCCTTGAGTTTCGCTGGGGGTCGACTCTGGTCTGTGATTGGACCAGGGTTACACGTCGAGATTTGGCCATACACAGAACGTACCATCCACAACCCCTCTTTCGGCATAACCCCTCTTTCGGCAAGCAAAATAAAAAAGCCACCACCAAAAATCAACAACTTCACTTACACAGAACTTGACCGAATTGATAGAAATCCGTGAAATTTTTCGTTTCATAAATCATAAATAGGGTTTATCTATTGTACTCTGGTTTTTTTCGCCACCCGCCGCGACCGCCTGAGTGGTTGGTGGGGTATGTTTTCCTCTCTGACTTCGATGACAGAACCAGCCTCCGATTCTGACTCTTGCTCGCTTGAGGAGACAAATTCCACCCCAACAGGCATATTTTGAGTCGCCCCTTCTGGTATGCACTCTTTACTAGCTAGAGTCTCTCCAAGAGTCATAAAACGTTTGTTAGGATTCGGCACCGCCTTCCTCTTCTTCCCTCTTTTCAGCCGAGCCAATTCTTCCTCTAGGCTGGCAATCCTCTGCGTATGCGCCGCTACTGTCTGCTGTTGAGCTTCAAAGCCCTTGGCTATCACGTTATACCGTCTCCGCGTCTTTGGTGTTTTGTTCAACCCAAGGTCACGAATTTGACGGCTCGTCTGTGGCGTATCGTCCGAGCCAAGATACGGCCTGGGTTCAGGAGTCACTCTTGGGCTGCCGTTTGGCCCATCTTGTTGGATTTCAGGGTGCCGTAACGCTTTCGCACGTGAAATTGGCCAGTTCCCAGTGACCCTCCAGCCAGACAGTATGTTCTTCTTGGTCATTCCAACTCGGCGAGCCTTGGCGTAGGCCCTGATGAAATTGACCTTGTCCATTGGAGCGGAATCAGTCAACGAAGCGAACCTTTCCAACTCTCGTCGATATGCAGCCTTCGACGCATTAAATACTCCATTGTCCAGTGGCTGGAGTCCATGAGAGCAGTGTGCTGGTAGATAGCAGCAATAAACGTTGTTCAAAAAGCACGTGGCCATCCATTCATCCTTCCATCATTCAGCACTGATCTTGAGGTGGGGAAAATAGTGAACATACTGTTGCATGGCTTCCATGACCATCTAAAATGATCAGTCTCGCATCAGAGTCGTCGGCAGGCGTAGTCTGGGGCAGATAAACTCTTTCAAGCCATTCAATGCCTATGTGGTCATCAGTCCACCCGTTGGGCGATGTTATATAATACCAGTCTGCTATCTGCTTGAACTCATCAAGAAACCACTGTTTCTGGAGCTGTTTCCCCTTGAATATTATGCCAGGAACTAAAGCGCGGCCGTCAGCAGTGATGGCTTCGATGAATGAAGTCCAATTCCGAGTTTGTGGTCCCTTGAGAAACGCCTTGCGCTTCGGGTCCGCGCTTCCAACGACCAGGCTATCTAGACCTGAACCCAGAGGGTTAGTCGGCCAAAACTCAAGCATTGACAGGGAATAGAGGTGAATGCTTGCCGAAACCAGTCATAATACCCCCCTCATCAACGTTGACGGGGTTTTCAGGCTTGATCCAACCATATTGGCCCTCCCTGATATCAAAGTACCAATGAACCGCTCTAGGTGTGAAAGAGTCAAATCTCTTGGCTTCTTGACGTCTACCTATCTTGGTCTTTAGGTCTGCGCGGCGATTGATAAACTTGGTCACCCAATTACGTCCCAAGTCGCGATGTTCGCCCTGCTGTCTCAGCAGGCCCATGACGCAAGCGCGGATCTGACTGTGGGACGGAGCATAGCCCAAAGACTCCTGACGGAGTATCCAGAAAGCGAGCCTATCCTCTTGGCTCTTGGACAAGCGTCGATAAGGGTGGACCTGCTCTTTCACGGCCCCGCGGCTGTTAAGTCTGTCGATTAGAGTACTCCGAGGCACTCCCCGTCTCTGAGCGGCTTGAGGAGGTGAAAAACCATTATCAGTAACATCCAATATGGCCTCTGCCATGTCTTCCTCTGTGTATTTCCATCGAAGTCTTGACCTAGGCATTTTCATATGTTGTCGCAGATAAAGGCCAAAAAACACAGAAAAGAGCGGTGAAGAACTTGATGATCGAATTAACACTATTTCCATAGCACGGTATGCATACATCGCGTACCCCGCACAGCCTTAGAGGGCTACAATCGTTAACTCCAATCATTTCTATAATCAGCAAAGGCATTGTCCTCCAAGTATCTATTTATTTTGGCCAATATTTGTGTAAGTGAAGTTGATGAGTTTTGGTGAAGCTTTTTTTATTTTGCTTGCCGAAAGAGGGGTTATGCCGAAAGAGGGGTTGTGGATGGTACCGCGTAAAGCTCCTGCTCAGACTTCAATCTTTTGTGCTTCGAGACATTGTGCAGACCGTATTCGAGAACCAGAACCTCCCGACGGGTCAAGGCATGGCAAGCAATCTTTTCACAGAGCTGGGCTGTTCCAACCCTATATATCCCTTTGTTCTTCTTCCAGAGTATCGACTCATCGTGTGCCAACCGTGTCAGTATGCGTGTTTAGCTGGCGAAACGGCCACACATCTTTCCCAAAAGCATGCCGATGTAGATCTGGGAACTCGACGCCGACTGACTACGGAGATTAAAATGATACCGAACGTGCTGCGAAGTCGGACTGAGCTACCCCAACTGCAGTATCCACCGCCAACGACCGAGCCCATCTCTTGTCTTGCCCCACCAAAACTCGACGTACTGAAATGCCGACAATGCAATAACTTCAACGTCCGTCAGCTGCAGGCGATGCAGGAACATTATCGTAAATCTCATGGCTGGGTCAATCCTAGGAGTATAGGAAGGCCAGCAGAAGGGCTTTCATCGACTGATAATGTACCATGGATTGAAGGGGTAGCATGTCAGCGTTTCTTTCCTTCTCGAGAAGGCAGCAGATGGTTCCAAGTCAACTTCAAGACCAAAAGATGCAATGCAAGCGCACTGAAGGCGAAACGAACTCCTACAAAACCACAGGTAGCGCCTCGGGATCTTACATCCGAAGGGTCCACCCATCTACAACAAGTTATGGAACGGGAGGCTGGATATCAAAATGCTTTGAGCCAGCCTTGTATTACTGGCAAAAATGCTTGTAGAGTGACTTTCGCCTCCACGAGTCTGTGGTTAGACAGGACGCAATGGTCTTCTGTCTATCGGGGTTCCCGACGAGATGTACTGTGGGCGATGACGAGACCGCCTAATCGCCACTGCCTCACCATGTTGTTTGTATTGCGCAGTAGTGCTGGGTGAAAAAATATTTTATGAAACTTGATTGTTAATTATTGAGATGAGAGTTCTTCTCGGGTTTATATCTCTAGATGATTTCATCTAGGACTTTGAACTCTAAATCTAGGACTTTCAGTCTAACAGTCTAAACCCTGAAAGGAAGGGGGAAACACCGGAATTTCCAACACACCACAGATTATATCTTAGGACAGGGTGCTTTGGATGACACTCTAAACTTTGTGAGCCCTCGAGAAGATGAACAAAAGATATCCAGCATCATGGGAGCATTCGATTCTGTCATAGATCGTTGTGAGAATACGGTTCGCAGCACTAGCCACAACACCCTTTGCTGGCTACTTAGCTCGAGGCTGCAAAGCCGTCGAGAGTCCCCCTTCGCTCTTGTGGCGGAGAAAAATAGCGAGGTGAGGTACAGAAGGACCCAGAAACAATTCTTGGCCTTCGTTTTCCGGCTATACCGAATGGCGAGTGGCGTACGGCAAGATGTGACAGAAGCCAAAGTGAGACCGGAAATTTATGCTGAGCTGGATCGCATCTGGAATCATAATATCTGGTGCCTCTTTGAAATCTCTAAGGGGACCTGGCCGGCGATAGAGAGGCAGGAGGATAATCCTACTGGCCCTTCCCCCACTACATCTGGCGTCCTATCTATTAATGACGCTAGTGACGCTACGGTTCATGATGATCGAAGAACCTGTGCGACAGAAAGCGAAGAAGACGAAGAAGGTGGGAATGCTGATGTTGAAGACTGGGATCCAGACGAGGACGATGACAATGACGATGACTCCGAAGACGATGACTCCGAAGACGAGAACGACTGCGATGACTCTGGGTACTGGAGTAATATTGATGGACCCAGCGCCACGCCCTACCGAGAGATGTCCGCAGGAGTACTGAGAGGATCTACCAAAGTTGTATTCGACGAATTCCTCGAAATCCTGTTCCAGCTATGTGTCACGCTATGTACCGAGACTTTCGTTGACGGACAGCCAAGCTCTACGCTACTAGTGTACTTCAGCGGCGTTCTTGGCTTCTCTGCAGATTGTCACAGGTTCCAGCTCGCTCGGCAATACTGTCCAAAGCTTTCGGCAATTATTTATATGCAACGGATATTACTTCTAGAGCTAGCACTGCCTATGCGCGAATACACTACCATTGGTATTCCCCAACGGCCACGAGCAGCGCAGTTCGAGTCCCTGAACCGAATCCGAGCGAAGTACATGGTTTTAGGCTCGCAGTACCCGCTTGCGGAGTTGGTGAGCCTACTGTACCAATTAGCACGGGTATTAGGCCCAATACCAGTTTTTGTGGCCCGTGCACTTACCCCATTTCGACTTTTCCCGATCCGTTGAATCCTGAAATTCCAACAATTATGAGAGCCCCTTCAGCCGAGAGGACAGCGGCTACCCTATGGCTACTGAGGCAAGAGCTTTGTCAGCGGCGGGGCCCCACGTAGGGAGATCTCGTTCAGAGTTGTCAGTGTGCTGGCCTTCTGAGGTTTGGCCCTGCCCGGCGTAATAAATTTCATTCATTCATTAGGGTCCCAGAAAGCCACCGATCAGCGAAATCAACAGTCCAACTCCTATCGACGTAATTTTACAGTTAGCTTTCTGGCTTGATAACTCTTTTGTTGACCTTAAATTCTTTTTTCTTTTTTCGCTTTCGTTAAGGCTCGAATCCTGACGCGACAGATGAAACTTCCTCGCGGACTACCATGGGTTGCAACAATCGCATTGACTTCGTGCCCTCGCTTCCGGCACAGGAGGGACAAGGGAAGGGGCCCATTCCGCTTCCTGAGAAGGTATTGCCGTCCTAAACATTGTACTCTACCTGTGTATGTGACTAACGTACCATGGAGCCCGCAGTTATTGAAGAATGTAACGGCGAGATAGAATTTCGTGTCGTCAACAATGATGGTGACCGGGAGAGTTTCATCGTCCTGGGTGGGCTGAAATGTGTCTTCCAGAAGCAGCTACCGGAGATGCCTAAGAGCTACATCGCGCGCCTCGTCTACGATAGAGCTCACATGTCCATTGCCATTGTGAGGAAGCCGCTAGCAGTAGTAGGTGGCATCACGTACCGGCCGTTCAAGCACCGCAAGTTCGCCGAGATTGTCTTCTGCGCCGTCTTATCAGACGAGCAGGCCAAGGGCTACGGGGCGCACCTCATGTCGCATCTGAAGGACTACATTAAGGCATCATCAAATATGATGCATCTCCTGACCTATGCCGACAACTCGGCCATCCCCTATTTCAAGAAACAGGGTTTTACAAAGGAGATCACGTTAGATGACTCAATTTGGAAGGGGTGTATAAAAGACTATGAGGGCGGAACTCTTATGCAGTGCTCTATGCTCCCAAGGATTCGCTACCTAGAGGTAGGCCGCATGCTCCTTAAGCAGAAGAAATGCGTCCATGCCAAAATACAGGCCTTTAGTAAGAGCCACGTAGTCCATCAACCTCCGAAACAGTGGGAGAACGGCCTTACTCCCATTGATCCCCTATCCATCGACGCAATCCGGGCGTCAGGTTGGTCACCTGGTATGGACGAGCTGGCTAGGCAATCCCACCACGGCCCGAACTACAAGCAGCTGTTACATCTCTTAAATGACCTCCAGGACCATCAATCATCGTGGCCATTCCGGCAGCCTGTCAGCGAGGACGATGTCGCCGACTATTACGAAGTCATCAAGGAACCAATGGACCTAAGTACTATGGAGGCCAGGCTGGAAGCGAAGCAATACATAACACCTGAGGATTTCATTAAAGACGCCCGACTCATCTTTGACAACTGTCGTCAATTCAATGGTGGGGATTCGCTCTATGTGAAGTGTGCCAACAAGTTAGAGAAGTACATGTGGCGGCAGATACGCACGGTCTCCGAGTGGTCACATTTGGAGTAGTTTGATAGCATTACTTGGTTAACTTGAGGCACCATGAATAACTTTCCCGCCTGCGAGTCTGTCGGCGTAGACTGTACAGCACACAATCCACGCCTTCATGTTCTGCCAATGCAGCGGCTTCAAGTACGGCCATGCCAAAGCCCTGGGGGAACATTGTTGACTAGGAAAAGCCTCTTTGCCAATTGATCACAGGTTGGTCAGATGATAGGAGTGGTTGCCAGAGATGGACGCTGCACGAATGACAATCAAATTCGCGATTGCCACGGGTCCCCTCGATCAGAAATGACCCAGATCCCGCTAGTCCATTAAATTGATTAATACTAAATATAAAACCTTCGTAGAATTAAAGATGGGCACTGCGTCAGCCGCCAAAAATAAGAAACTGAACACTTGGAGGATTTGGGCTTCAAGTTGACTTGCTACTAACCTTCACGAGGACAAGGAGAAGAGCGATGACTAGAGCAAAAGAACAAGGCGAGATCCACAAGGGCTTGGCGAGATCAAAGCAAGAATTAGAGAGGTGTATGTATTTTTAGCTTCAGAATCCTTTGGGCATGGCCAACCGGGCGTAATAGACTTGTCTGTCTGTACAGTAGGGGACAACCAGGGAATAGAAGCCTAGAATGAGTTCTATAGCTATTAGGATTCGATTATCAAGTCACTGCATGAAGAGAAGCTCTGTGGGCGCGTGTTAAAGTTCGCCCTGTCAGAAATGATATTTCGCATGAGCCTTGGCAGGCCCCTCTCTATCTTCGATGTTCCACCCCCCATGGCCTGGAAACCGCGGGCAAACGTGGCAGTCGCATATCAAATTAGTGTGGTGTCCTTATCTTTTTACACTTTCCACTGCGGCAAAATGGGCCATCTCTTGAAAGCCACGCTACTCCGCTCTGCTTGGCGCTTGGTCAAGGAAGGGTTAATGCCATTCCAGGCTCAGACCCCCGTTGCTCTCCTCTTGGAATTGATTGAGAACATGCGGTCGTTTTCGCTTCCGTCTGTCCCCAATGCACCTAGACAACCAAGAAGTGCAGGTCGATGAGGCATGATTTGATTGCTCTCTTCAGGAGGAAAGAGAGAGGAGACAACATGGACTGACGTTTCGGTCCCACGAGGCTGGCGCGATATGGCCCCGATCTTAGAAATGATATACAATGATTAACAGGGTTCCACTGACACGCTGCATTTTGCTTCTGGGGCCCCACCACTTGCAACTCCCTACACTTGAACCCGAATGACACATTACAAATCTCTACCAAGGATCTGGCTTACCGGAGCTGAAACAGATTGTTTTCGCAGCAATCTTGTCTTCAGTATTCCTGCAAAAAAAAAGTCAGTGAGGCTGGCTTCATTGCATTCGCGCGCCCTTCCGCAGCATGGCCGTCTACATTCAGGCGGTTTGATCACTACAACGTGTTTATATAGGGCGATGTTCTATGCGACAAAAGAGACAATCTCCTTACCGACGGCCACATGATCGCCCCTGGTCAGCCACTATCCTGAGCGTCCGCGGATCTGAAGCCAACTGTGCTGTCTCGAAAATGTCTCCATCCTGGAACGTGTTTTGCCCTGAAAAGCAAACGCCTTTAACGTAAGAAATGGGCAGGAAACAAACCCGTGATATAGTTCAAGTGACAAAAATAGGGCAAAGTAACCTCCTGAAGTAAGGAATGCGAACTGTCCTTTCGTACGATAGTGAAAGGCAAAGTCTGGTGATATACTTTGAGTCCCGTTGCCTCAATGATGATCGCGAGATAAAACCTCCACTAGCCCTTGATAAGCAATTCCCTTCACAACTCGATACTTGAATTGCATGACAAGACGACATCAAGTCAAGTTCAATGATCTTAGGAATTATAGTGCATTTCATTACGAAAATCGCGCTCACGACCTTATGCTACATCTCGCAGCATTGGACTCCAATAATAGTTCCTGTCAACGGGGTAGCTGACTTGTACAGCTCTCTCTTATGATCATCAACTTAGTTCCTTCTTTCTACCAGGTAAAGACAGTCCGAGACGGAGAGTAAGTGTCTCTGAAGAAGCTTCAAAGATAAGAGTGTCGGGATGCGTTTGCTCTTTGGTAACTTTGCCATTCGATTGACTCCTGTGAATTACTCATTTTGTGGCGGAGGTGCGAATGTCGAGCGGAAAGGATAGAAGATTACTTCACTGCATTTTTAAAGTCGAGCACTGGGGGGAGAAGGACCCATACACGAGACGTACGGTTTGCCTCATAGGCCTGAATTATGCGTACCATGGCATTTCGAACCGACATTTACAGGGTTTGGTACGCCGATGTAGAAAGAGGTCTAGGAGGAAGAGTCGGAAGTTTGGAAACAGCTGGCCAAGCGCTATAAAAAAAAATGGCGTTAGCAAAGTGGGGGCGCGTCAGATAAATATCTCGGGCGCTTCGGCTGCCGGCCAAACCCGCTCGCCAGACATCTGCTGTGGAATGGCGGCAAAAGCCGGGGAGGAACAGAAACTGATGGCTGCCTGGGTGGCGAAATCTCAACGCTCCGACCCGAGACGAAGCAAATTTGAAAGTTTTTTTTTTTTTCTTTCTTCGAAAGAACGTGACTAATAGACGCTCGACATGGACGTGTCGGCTGCATGACTTGTAAGGGATTTCCCGGTGATCCGCCGGATCCGGTGATCTGCCGGATTATTGCCAACTTACATGGGCGACTTCAATCTAGCATAGCTCAACAAGCACTTTTCAAAATGCGCTAAAACTACGAAGATGATATAATTATTTCCTTAAGACTTATTTCAATTAACTTCGAAGTCATCAAGCCATCGCGGTCGTTTCCTGTTCCGCTGCGATCGCCCCGAGTCCCGATATGCCACCACTACCTCCCGATCGCTCTCGACAACTAAAGAAGGCCTTTTAGGCCGAGTTTTATGGCTGGGTGGCGTCGACGCCTTTATATTTGGGGTACTTAATGCTTCGTTGGGTGGCTTGAATAATACGGGGGGTTGGGTGACTGTGGGAAGAACGACGATGATTTCGTCCTGAATGCCCCCATTCTCTTCGAGACCATCTGAGCCATTCTGCCGTGCCTGATGCCTCGGTTGTATACTCCGCTGATTTTGCTTCTTCATCTCAATCCGAAGCTGCCGGTTTGCTTCTCTCTCAAGCTGCTTTGTTTCTTTTTCCCGCCGTTTTCTTTCCTTTTTCTCCTCCCGCTGCCTCTTCCTCTCTAATACTAGTTGCTTTTGCTCCTCTACTCTTTTCTGCCGCAGAGCCTTTTCAGTTCTCTTCTGGAGAACCTCCTCTTCCTTCTGCGCCTCCATTTCAATTTTCTTCTGGCGAGCTTGGGCGATCTTTTGCGGGCTAAACACCTGAGCTGAATTAGGATCCACACGATCAAAGATATAGTCTTTCAGGGCTTTACCACGCTGCCTGCGCTGTTTTTCACGGATAATTGTCTCACGGAGGCCTTGGTTCTCATGCCTGAGTAGTTCAACCTCGGCCTGAAGGCTTTCAAGGGTTCTCTTTAGCTTTCGGGCGCCTGTGTCAGAGCTGACTGAGGATTTCTTCACGACATGATCAACAAGTCGCCGTAATTCTCGTGCAGTAGGTTCTTGTAAAGCAACGGAGTCATCCAAGCCACTTTCCACATCTGAGTCATCGTCCGTATTCTTCGAAACCTGAGATAGGACGACGTCCGGATCGAAAGGCTTGAGACCCGTCCGTCTCCACCCACTGGCGATGTTCTCCGGAGTGAAAGAAGCTTCTAATGCACCCCAGAACAGGACCCAAAACTCGCGTTTGGATAGCCCAGTGAGGCCTTGCGTCTTTGAAGTCCACTGAACAAGTCGGTTGGTATAGGCTGTTGATAAGGGCCCGAAAAGCGAGACGTCAAGGGGTTGCAGCCGGTGAGTAGAGTGAGGTGGGAACACCGCAACGATGATCCGATGCGCGTCGCACCAGTCCAAGAAGTCCATATTGATGTGGCTAGAGTGTCCATCGGTGATGAGAAGGCGGTAATCGCGCCCATTTCTTGCTTTCGCCTTGGTAAAGCGGTCGAAAACACCAATCAGCCACTCTTTCCCCAGTTCGTGACTCGTCCAGCCAGTTTCGGACGTGGAAAAGAAGGCTGATTGATGCTCCGGATCAAAGTCAGTGAGCCAAGTGTCCTGAACTTGTCCCGGCTTGCCCTGGTAGATGAGGAATGGGGGTAGCGATGTCATGTCTTGGCAGATGCACGCCAGGAATGTGATCCACGATCGGTTCCCATCCTGGGAAGCACCGAGCAATTTGCCTTGCCTTTTAGCATTGACATCAAATACTCTCTTCGTTCGGTTGATTACGCCCAGGAGAAATCCCTTCTCATCCATGTTATACGTGTTCTGAGGTAAGATGTCGTATTTGTCGATTTTTTCACGGATCTTCCATGATTAGCAACGGACCAAAGGCGCTACGAGTCTGCTTACTAGATCAAAATATGCTCTATACCGAGAAGCATTGTCGGCTCTTCTTCGTGCTATATCAAATCCATCAAACCAGGTACAATCGATCTCGTTGCGATGGCGCTGGACGAAGCTGTATGGCCAGTTCTTTCCGACCTCGATTTTGGCTATGTCCTGGGCAAAATTTCGGATCATGGATAGGGTTGGCGGAATGCCACGCAGTGAGAGTTTACGGATATAAGTAACAAGATCTTGTTCCTGTTGTTTTGAAAGACGAGACTTATACAAAGAGTCGGCATCGCGTCTTGCCCTCTGTTTGCCCTGATGGCGGCGGCGCAGGGTAGTCTCGTCACATTCGAACTTTTTAGCGGTAGCAGCATAGTTAATAGATCCTGAGGTTTTCAGAAACTCGAGCGCTTTATCGATTGCTGCCATGGTTGTTGAGTTATTAAAGATTGAAGTTGGGAGTGAATATCGGTGTGAGTCCGGCAGATCATCGGATCCGGCGGATCACCGGGAAATCCCTTAACAACCTTGTAGAGCATCTGTCCAGGCTGTTGACCGGCTAAGCCCACTATAAGCCTGCAATACCACCGTTTCTGAGGGGCAGTGACACCTCCCAAACTGGGTTGTCCCAGGTACAACATTCAGACACAAGAACGACGACGCTTCCAACCCGAACCGTTCAGTCGACTTGACGACGAATCACATTTAAACGACGCCGTCGACTACATCTTATCGGCCGGCCGGGCTTGGCGCGAGGTTTCGGGATACGGACCAGGTGATAGTGGAGGACGACGACACCATGGCCCGCCTCAGTCGAGTTCGAGATCCAGGAAGCCCGGTCTTATTTCAAGGCCCCAGCAGCTTCTCAGCTCCTCTTGCATCACCCCTAATCGCTTGGCCCGACAAGATGCTTCTGCCAGGCGCACTAACCTCAGTAAGTACCTGGGTGCCATAGAGACAATTCAAGCTAATTGGGTGTTTCCAGGCGCATGGAGCCCTGAACCTTGCAAGACACAAAACCCACCGAAGACGGCCCCGGCTTCGGCCAGGGTCCGAACCCTTCGTACGAGCAGCCCCAATTTCCCCGACCTCAACGCCGATGGTCTGGAGTACTTAGACCTAACCAACGATGCCTCTGAATCCTCCGACTCGCTACCGTTCAACAGCGATGCGAAACTCTGCCGCGAAGATTACGCATCTCGACCCAATCTAGTGGCCTCGAGCGGTAGAAAGAGAAAGAGCAGTGAAATCAGTGAGGAAGAATTCAACGACCTAGGCGATTTCCTAGCCATCTACGAACTTCCTGGTACCTATTCTCCCACCTCGAGCCTTGGGAATCCATCCGGAACACGTCGACGAGACGGATCTCGCGGCAGTCGAACACGCCGAACCCGCGATGGCTTCAAAAACCATCTGTCAACCGAAATTTCACCCATCAGTGTGGAGGGCGAAGATGAAATACTATTGCCCTCAAGATATGTACACAGCCCGCTTGCTCATGAGCAATCCCCTCGGAAAGCGTTACCTGTCATCGACACTCAACACCCCTCGAAGGGACCAACAAGCCCTTTGAAGGAGTCTGCTGTTAATTCTGAAGCTTCCAATCCAGTCCATCAGACCAACTCGCTTCCTCCTCGAATGGAGGATGGCAGGGATGAGTCATTCATTCCTGACTCCGACGGAGAATTTTTGATGCCCCCTTCCCATAATAGCTCAATCGCCATCTTGGACGTCTCTACGATCAAACCAGCACAAATTTGTACTCCTGCAGGGCCGACAGCTATGCCTGCAGTCCAGCCAGGCTTTGCTTCGCTCTCCCAACGCCTCATTACTCCAGGAATAGCCGCCCCTGGAGTGCGTGCCATCGCGTCAAACAGCTCGCAGACCGCCAAGGCTACCCCTGAAGGTTCTTTCAATGAACTTCCTAGTAAAACCCTTCCCGAATCAAGTCAAACATCGTTTCTTCTGAATCAGTTGAGTTCTCAACCATCGACCTTGACTAAATGGAGTGAGTTCATGGACAAGCTCATTCAGCAAAACGATAAGAATTTCATAAGAGCGATTAACGAGCGCTTGCCGAAGGAGAAGCGAAGTGAGGTTAAGTCAGAAAAAGAGCGATTGTTACGACAACAGAAGGCCTTCAAACAACTCACTGCCCCAACGGATGAGTATAGGACACTTTGTAGGAAACGCGAAGAGCTTACCCAAGTCATTACTCAAGCCTACGCCCAAGGCCTTGACACGGATGAGGACGAAGTTCGACTTGATGACCTCATCGATGAAATCCAAGCGGTGGAGCATGTCCTACTCAAAACAATCGATGGCACTGGGCTAGATGTAGCTAGATTCCTTGGGGCTGTCCAGAAACCAACGCATGGTCGCCCTCCTGCATCAGTCATTGTGAAGGACACTCGACCAATGTTTCAAAAGAGTGCCAACATGTCTATGATGTCGAATATTGCCATACTAGCCAGTGAGATGGGTACGCGAGTCGTTCATGAGACTCAGCTGCCCAATGCTTCTCAGAACCTGCAGTACCCAGCAACATCAAGGATTGAGGCCTCGCAAAAGACGAGTGCTATCTCCCAGGAAAACAACGCTGTTGGGGCTCCTCTTTTCCCGAAAGACACCGCAAAACCCTCAAATGCACCTTATCAGTCAAGACCGGCGACGAGACCATCAATGGTGGATCCCATGCCTGTGGATACAGAATTTGGTGTCGGTGACGACGGCTTCTCTGATCTGGATGAACTCCAGCTCCAGCCAGTGCTCAAAGCTGCGAGAAACTTGGTACCAGGCAGAGGAAGTCCGCCTCAAGCGACACATCGTCGCCCTGGCGATGAATTCAGTGACTTCAGCGACGATGAGGAGATGCTTGCTTTTGCACAGGATTATGAGACCCGTCAGTCCCACGTTCCCATTTCGCAAGACTTTAGAGAAGTCGTCTCGGAGACAACTGGTAATGCTGGAGCTGTTGCAAAGCCTCGAACCTCATCAAAGAAGCTATTGACGTCAGTAGCGCCAGAGTCAATCCCTGACGAGCTGATGAAACATCCGTGGTCACCTGAAGTTCAAAGGATGCTCAAAGACCGGTTTAGAATGAAAGAATTCCGCCACAATCAGCTTGAGGCTATCAATGCAACATTGGGAGGTAAAGATGCCTTCGTTCTTATGCCAACGGGTGGCGGCAAGTCTTTATGCTATCAATTACCGGCCGTTATCGGAACTGGCAAAACTCAGGGTATCACCATTGTGGTGTCGCCCTTGCTCAGTTTGATGCAAGATCAAGTTGACCACATGAAAGCTCTAGGCATTCAGGCTGTCGCTTTCAATGGCGAGTACTCTGCCGAATATAAGAGACAGGTTATGACTGCTTTCGAGAAGAGAAGCCCAGAGGACTACATCGAGCTCCTGTATGTTACCCCTGAGATGGTGAGCAAGAACACTACCTTCAACAATGGGATGCGAACCCTGCATCACAAGGGTAAACTTGCACGCATCGTCATTGATGAGGCTCACTGCGTCAGTCAATGGGGCCATGATTTCCGGCCAGACTACAAAACTTTGGGCGAAGTCCGCCAGAGATACCCTGGAGTGCCGGTCATGGCTCTCACAGCCACCGCGACACAGAACGTCATCGTCGACATCAGGCACAATCTCGGAATGGACAACTGTCAAACGTTCTCACAAAGCTTCAATCGTACAAATCTACACTACGAGGTTCGCGGAAAGACAACGAATGCCAAATGTATGGACGAGATCGCGTCGCTGATCAAGTCCAAATATGCGAATCAGAGTGGGATTGTCTACACGGTCTCACGAAAGAACGCAGAAAAAGTTGCGGAGAGTCTTTCGATCCAAGGAATCACCGCCAGGCATTACCACGCAGGCCTCGATCCCCAGGAGAAGGTTGAGGTACAAACTTCCTGGCAGCAGGGCCAGGTCAAGATTGTCGTTGCAACAATTGCGTTCGGCATGGGCATCGACAAGCCAGACGTGAGGTTTGTCATACACCACGGACTTCCAAAAACCTTGGAAGGATACTATCAGGAGACGGGTCGCGCAGGCAGAGACGGAGAACCCTCCGATTGCATTCTTTTCTATGGCAAACAGGATATAAGGATCCTGAAGAAGTTGATCGCTGATGGTGAGGGTAACAATGAGCAAAAGGAGCGCCAGATGACTATGCTTAACCGTGTCACGGCATTTTGTGACAACAAGTCTGATTGCCGTCGGGTTGAAATTCTTCGCTATTTTGGCGAGGACTTTAGTGCAGCACAGTGCCGCAAGACTTGCGACAATTGCAAAGCTGGTTTGATCTTTGAGCAACGAGAATTTTCTGAGTATGCCATTGCAGCCATCAGGGTTGTTCAGGCGCAGAGGAGGATTACTGCGGTGCAATGCGCCGACATCCTCATGGGGAGGAAGTACCCCCCTTACGAGGCACGTCGCTCAGATGACTGGTATGGAATGGCAAAGAGCCTTAAGAAGCATGAGCTGGCTCGAGTACTAGATAAGCTGTTAGCCGAGAAGGCATTTCATGAGAACAACCAAGTCGGACATCATGGCATGGCAATCCAGTATTTGAAACTCGGATCGACATACCGTCTATTTCTCTCAGGGCAACGGAAGCTCATGTTATCGGTTCAAGTACCGGAAGAGGGCGCGAATAACAAGCCTTCCAAGCCCCGGTCAAAGCAAGCCAGTAAGAAGCCGAAGGATCAGGATGTCACCGCCATGCCGTCGCCAGACGAGTCTTTACCTGTTGGACGACGGAGAAAGAAATCTCCTACTGTGGAAAGCGACGATGAGAATGGCGCCATGACATTGAACGGCTATGCGAATGATGGGTTCATGGTAAATGATAACGAGGATGAAGAGGCCTTTGAAGAGATGCCTGAACACCAACCACTGAAGCCGCTCTCGCGGTCGCCTGGGCTTCCAATATCCATCAGTGCCGAGTTGGAAGACTTGAACGAAATACACCGGGATATTGTCGACGGTTTCGTCCGGGAAGCAAAGCTAGCAGGGGAAAAAATCCGAAAGCGGGAAGGGCTCAGATCACCACTGTTCACCGAGAAGGAGCTTCAGGTCATGGCCATACAGTGGACAACTTCTCTTGACAAGATGTCTAAGATTCCAGGCATCCAGCCTGTCATGATTCATGGACCGGAGATTCTACTTATCTTGTGGAGATACTACAGCGGTTACCGTGAGGTCATGGATCCCAAGCGCTCTGGAGGTAACGGCCAGGAGATTGTGGATCTGCTAAGTTCGGACGTCGAGATGGGTGACGATGCCTACGAGGACGAGGATGGGGAGGATTCTCCCTACTTCAACACCAATAAGAACGCCGATATTCGGGCCTCTCCGAGCATTTAGAGTGGAAGTGCCCTTCCCTTTAGGATTCAGACTGTTCGTCTGAAAGTCCTAGATGAAATCATTTAGAGATATAAACCGGAGAAGAACTCTCATCTCAATAATTAACAATCAAGTTGAGTAAAATATACCTTTTACTCAGCACTGCTGCGCAATATAAACATCATGGTATCGGCGCCAAAGCGAACTGTACGGCGCTTTGTAGGTCCTTGCAGCACGACGAACACCTGTAGGCCAAACCTTGGCGGAACTTCCATCTGATAATAAACCTAGTCATAGCGTCCAACTGTTTGACTATTACATGATGAAGCCTAATTAAAATTAAAGCTGGGATCTTGCGCTTTCTTTTTCTATAACCCTTTTCCATTTTAACCCTAAAAATATCAATGATGTCTACCCCCTGTCTTCATTGGCGTATTTACGGATTTGGTGAGAATGTTCAATGCGGTCTAACAGACATCGTCGTCAAATTAGAAAGGGTTAGAAGTAATAAAATAATAAATATCGTTCTGTTTACCTTTCTGTCAAATAACTTACTCCATGTTGCGTAACCCCTTGCCACAGATCGGCGCTAACTAACCCCAAGCACCAATCAGCGATCCGACATGAGCCAAAACGATAAGACATAAATCTGTTGACCCCGCGACCCATTTTCTTAGCCGATTTAACTTAAATCGCCTGCGAATAACACCTCAGTAGGGCCTAGTTCCGTCATGGCGAGTAAGAAGAATTCGATGGCAATGCCTTGGAGGATATAGAAGTGGAAGTTAAGGCTGCCTCTAGATGCTGTATGCGCTTATCGATGGTGCCCGCAATTACGTCGTAATTCGCTCAGACCACGTGACGACTTATCCCCCGCAAAAAGCAGCCCGTGAAATCGTGTGCGCGGCGCCTGATAAGTGCATTTGATAAGTTCCCCGCAACTTATCAGGCCCCAGACAGGAAACAAACACCACGTAGAAAGGCCTTGATCGACCGAGATGGCCGCAGACGACTCGTACACGGCCGCAGACGAGCGTGCCCGTGCCGCCCGGAGGGCGGGCCTTCAGGCGAAGAAGGACGAACAGCCGGCGAACACGGCACGGAGTTATGCTGCGAAGCAGCGGGAGTGGAAGGCGCGTTCCCCCGGCCGCCGCCCTCTCTTTTCCCCTTTGCCCTTATCTCTTTTTTTTACATAGAGTCCCATGGGCGGCTAACAGACGAGAACTTATAGGCCTGGTGCCGTACGCCTCGGGCTGCGGCAGATGGCTCACTTTATAGCTGGCCCGACGGCGAGCTCGTAACCCCAGACAAGCTAGCAGCGTGGCTCAAAGAGGATATCCTCTTACGACGCGTTGCCCCGCCGCAAAAGAAACCACGGGCACGGGGTAAGGGCAAGGGCAAAGGAAAGGCTGTACAGTTACGGCGGCAGCTCGAACAGGAGCAGCTCGAGGCCGCGGCCCTGGCAGAGGCCGAAAGCCTAGCCGAAGCCCTAGAGGTCCCCCTGGCCGAGGCCGCCGAGCTGCTTGCGGATGACCGCGAGGGCTACGTGCCACCTACGGCCCTTGCGCCGGCTGCAGCAGACCTTGCCGAAGGATCTCCGCTTACAAGGGGCACTATCGACGCCTATATCGCGGCCGTTATCGAGCTCTGGCCAGTGATCGGAATGGTCTGGTCTGACTTGGTCTTGGTCTGGTCTAGACCGCCAAGACTTGGTCTGGTCTGAGGATTTCTCAAGACCATGGTCGGACCGGTCTTAATGGTCTGGACCGGTCTGGCTATAAATAGATCGGGGTGGCTGAATCTTAGACTAATGCAGTTAGAACATTGAGTACGGAATGAAATTATGAGCCCCTGAGAACAGCTTGAGTTTTCCACTCACATAAAACAATCAAGTCCATAACAACCTGCTTGTATGCTATTGTTATGGAGTCATCAGCTCCACCCTTACCGTCTCCATTGACTATAATGGTACCAAATTCAACGTCTCTTACACCATCTCCTGTCCCTACGTCGTCACCCACCCCTACTCTATCACCAGCCCCTGTTCGATATCACGAACCTCCGGATGAGTTCGTACAGGACCGTATCACCTACGTGAAACGCGCGACAATTACAAAGAAGGGATTTCGTCTAGGTTCATCACACATCTGGAAGTACGGCCTCCAATACATTCGAGGTAGCGATAAGAAAGAGGTGTATTACTGTCACGAGTGCACGGCTGGAAAGAACAAGCAAGAATTGTTTGTTATCAATGGCACTTCTAAGGTCAGAAATCACCTAGAACAGAAGCACCAGATTGATCCCCAGAGTGGTATCAAGAAACATAGTTCGACACGGAAGTCTGTACTAGATCAGCAGAAGAGCGCGGCTGCTACTAATACCTTCTTCTGGAAAGACTCAATGGAGAAGTTCAAAGAGCTTCTAATTCGTTGGATTGTGTACTGTCATATTGCTTTCTTTCAACTAGAAAATCGGTATTTCCGAGAACTACTCTTCTTTTTGAATCCGGCACTTCTCAACCACCTTCCAAAGGCAGCGAAAACTATTCGAAGTTGGGTTATGGACGCCTTTATGTCGAAGAAGCAGCGGCTCAGAGAGGACCTCCAGCGCTCGCGGAGTAGAATCTCCATCTCCTTTGATCTCTGGACCTCGCCAAACCCTTACGCTATTCTAGGTGTCATCGCCATGTGGATTGACACTACTGGCAAGCGACGAACTACCGTTTTGGGTATACGACGTGTGTACGGCGAACACACTGGCGAGAATCTTGGATCAGTTGTGCTTGAATTGCTAAAAGAATATGATATTGGCGGAGATGAGATTGGATATTTCATGCTGGATAATGCCTCGTCAAATGATACCGCTGTTGGATTTATACTCAAGGGGCTCTGCCCATGGATGGACTCGAAACAACGTCGCCATCGCCGACTTCGCTGCTTGGGCCACATTGTCAACCTCTGCTGCCAGGCGTTTCTCATGGGTCGGAACTGTGAGAAGTATCTAGCAAAGCTTGAAAAGCACTATCAACGCGGAGACTATGCGAAGGTGGAAGAGCTCTGGAAAAAATTTGGATGTTTAGGTCGGCTTCACAACCTCGTACGATACATTAGGCTTACTCCACAACGCCGTGAGGAGTTTGCTGCAATCGTTATCGGCGGAGATCTCTCTGAATTCGACGGGCTCGAGCTTATCCAGAACAACTCAACACGCTGGAATTCATGGTTTCATTTAATTACACGGGCATTGAATGTTCGGGAACGTTTAGAGATTTTCTCAGCTCGCCATGTACCTGGGAAAGGCTCTCAAGGGATTGCGAACTTTAAACTTGATGGATAGCACTGGTTCGAGCTTGAAAAGATTGAACTCGCTCTAAAAGACTTCTACGCTGCAACTTTGCTTTCTGAAGGTAAGAAGACGTCACTTGCTGACTGGTTTTTAACCTTGGACTGTCTTCTTCGAGAGATAAGCGAGACGAAGGATCACTACCACGATATCCACTCTGAGGACGATAATAACTTTACATGGAAGTACCTTCAAAGCTGCGCAGATGCCGCGTGGTCAAAATGTGCCGAGTACTACAACAACCAACAGCTGAATTGGCAGAATCGATTCCCTGAAGATACTGACCTTCCACCGGCATACTATGCGGCTCAAATCCTCGATCCATATCGCAAGTGGGCATGGTTCAGGCAAGAGTGGGTTCTTCACGGCGACGAAGAGAAGAGGAGGTGGTTTGATAACGCACAATCAGCGGTGAAGCATCTCTGGGAGACAGAGTATAAGGGAAGACACCCTGTTGAGATGCTGCCACCACCGGCCAGGAAGGAGAGAGCTCCTGACCCAGCATTCGATCGCCAGCGGGAACATAAGCGTATTCGAACAGACGCTCCGGTCTCCACAACAGATTTGTATGAACAATATATTTCTACCGACAGGCTCCATGACGACGAGGCAGGTTACGATGACGCCATTGCGTACTGGCTATCTCGTTATGACTCCCAGAGAGATCTCGCTCCCTTCGCTCTGGATCTGTTTGCGATCTCACCTATGTCAGATGAGTGCGAACGCCTTTTTAGTAGCGCAAAGCTTACTATAGTTGATCGCCGTGGTAGGCTGAAAGCAGATATCATAGAAGCTTGTGAGTGTCTCCGGGCTTGGTATGGAAAGCCCCAGGTTGAGGATGACAGTGATAGCGAGGATAGTGAGAATGACAATGAATGGATTGATAGCTACTCGTAAAATACATTTCCTTTCTTCCTTCCACTCCTTCAGCTGTCACGGGGCCAGAGGCTTTGCAGCAAGCATAGCGTGTATTGACGAAGAGGTCGCTTAGGGAGCAGAAAACGTTCTGCCCTTGAGCGATAATACCGTATTTATCTGAGCGTACACGTGACCTGTCACGTGGAACCCTGACAGCCTCATTCTTGGCGGTCTTGTTGGTCTAACCGGTCTACCAGACCGGTTATTATGTAAGCAGCTGGTCTGGTCTGGTCTGGGGGTCCAGACCAGACCAGACCAGACCATTCCGATCACTGGCTCTGGCGGCTCCAGGTAGCCCACGGCAACGCAAACACGGAAAACCCCCGGGGCGCCGCCGTACGAGGCTTCCTTGAGCAACGCGGCCGGCAGCGGGGGAAGCATGACCGCGCCTCCTTTAAAGACCGCGGGACTGACGGGATCCAGGCCGGCTATTCACCCGACGAATGGCTCCGGGTCCAGGATCTCCTTCTCAGCGGGGCTACATACATGCCGCAAAACCTCCGTACGCGAGTTGACCTCCTATTCGGCCACTACTACCTCTTACGGGGGGAAAACCGCCGTAAGATGGAGCTTGCAGACCTGTCTCTACTCGACTATCCGTCTTCAGAGGGCCCGACCCCCTGTGGCTGCCTCGTTACCCTTTTGCGAGACGGTAAGCTAAACAAGACGGCAAAGAAAGAGTTCATGGGTGCCCTCCGGCATAAGGACCCCTTGTTCTGTACGCAAGGGGCCTTAGCACAGCTCTTCTTCTGGCGCTGGCA